TTTTTTTTTTTTTTGAGACAGGGTCTTGCTCTGTTGCCTAGGCTTGAGTTCAATGGCATTATCATAGCTCACTACAACTGCAAACCCTTGGGCTCAAGTGATCCTCCAGCCTCAGCCTCCCAAGTGGCTGGGAGGTACATACCACCATGCCCAGATAATTTTTTTTATTTTTTATAGAGATGGGGTCATTCTATGTTATTCAGGCTGGTTTCAAACTCCTATGCTCAAGCTATTCTCCCACCTCAGTCTCCCAAAGTGCTGGGATTCCAGGTTTCAACCACTTAGCCCAGCCTCATGCTACATAAATGTATCCATTCATTCCATTAATATTGTTAAGTGTCTACTTTGTAACAAACCCTGTTCTAGGTGCTGAGAATACAGCAGTGAACAAAATAGATAAATATCTTTGGTCTCATGAAGCTTGCCCATGTACAGTAAACGAGTGAATTAGATGGTCTATTCCATGATAAATGCTGTGGAGAATGCGGAGGTAGTGGTTAAGGAAGGCTCAGTGAGAAGTCACCTTTGAGTGAAGCCATAAAGGAGCTCAGGGAGAAACCATGCAAACGTCTGGGGAAAGAGCCTTTCAGTTAGAGGGAGTAGCAAGGACCAAGACTCTAAGGTGAGACCATGCCCGGTATGTCTGAGGCCCTCCAAGCAGACTGAAGTGGTGAGAATGTAATGAGTTAGGGGGAAAGCGGTTAGAGATGAGGCAACTGGGGAGATGGTAGATGGCAGATCATGTCAGACAGACCTTGCACCCCATAGTGAGGTCTTTGGCTTTGCTTTGAATGGAAGATGATCTGACTCACATATATCAAGGATCACTCTGGATGCCATATTGAAAAGAGATTGTAGAGGTCCAGGGGAGACAGGGAGATGCTGGTGGGTAGGACGTGTGAACGTAATGAGAACTGATCTGCCGTTAGAACATACTTAAACTGAGGTAACTAACATGTATACTGACACTGAACAACTTTCAATAAGTATTAGCAAGTACAAAAATCAAGTTACATGATAGCATGCATGGTATGTCATATATGCTGGAATAAAAAATTTAAAGGGTGTGTGTGCAAAAGAATGCACAAGAAACTGGTGACTTGTCTGAGAAGAGCAGGATGGAGACTTTGTTTTCAGGAACATTCTCTTTATGCTTTTTAGATCTTCTTGCATATAACCTATATAGAAAGAGATAACCTTTCAAGTTTATAGATTTACAAAAGGTTATGCCAGTAAAATTATAATATATTCTTAGAATATCTGTTGATTCAAGATTTGATATAGAAAAGAGGCAAATAAATAGTTTCATTCAAATTTAACTCTTTCTGACGCAAAATTTCAGCATTTCAGAACAAACGTACAAAATATCCTTTAAAGATGATTTCCTGATTTTTCCTTAAAACCTTATGAAAATTCAATGTTTAAAAACAGATTGCATATCATTCAAGATGTAGTTGTTTTCTTAAGTATGTTTTTAAGATAGAGTCTTGCTCTGTTGCCCTGGCATCATCATAACTGACAGCATCCTTCAGCTCCTGTGCGCAAGTGATTCTCCTGCCTTGGCCCCCCAGAGTGTTAGGATTACAGACATGAGCCACTGTGCCCAGCAGAGATATAGTTACTGATTGCCCACTGTAAGCCTATCATTATGCTGAGATCATTCAGGTTGTCAAAATACGTTTCAAAAATGTTAAACCTCATATGAATATAGAAGGAATGTATGTCAAGGATTTAATTAAGCCAGCAATGGGAGAACCAGCGGAATCATAAAGCTAGTTCGAAGGAGAATTAAAAGAACAGGCATTGGAGAAAGAATGTGAAATAATGTTACCAAGTTAGATGCAAAACCACTCCAATGTTTACAATGCAATAAAATCATAACTTAGGGGTCATCCCTTCTACTACACAGAAATCACTTGCATCTGTTCACAATGAAAGTCTACAAGTTACTGTGAAACTTGAGAGAGCTGAGACTTTAATCAGTAATAGATATCCTTCTTAGGGGGTTAAAATGTACTAAAAATCAAATTGTAATGGTTGTACAACTCTGTGCCTATATGGAAAAAGCCACCGAACTGTACGCTTTCAATGGATGAATTTTATGGTTTGTGAAATAAATTTCAATAAAGCTGTTAAAATAACAGATAGCAATACTTCAGTCTTCTTGATCCAATCTCATTGTCTCCCTTCATTCTTTGACATAATTAAAAATAATCCCTGGGCAGGCATGTTAAACAAAGCTTTACTGTGACATCAAAAGTACTTGGTGGCTGTGTCACACATTTTTTATTTACAAATTTTGGATAATTTTCTTAACAAGGAATATGGTAGAGCATGCATCAGCCAGCTTCCTCCCTCAGAGAACGTACAAACCAGTAGGGTAACATACACGGAGGAAACAGAGAAGAAAAGTAGACACCAAATAAACACGTGGTGGAATAATAATGAATGAATGGTGACCGTAATAACCTTTGCCACTGCATTCACAACTGATAATAATTGTTTCATAAGAAGAGAAACTGTCAAAACCACAATTCTAAGGAGAGTTTTTCATACATTCCAAATTGGCCCAAGGTTAAAGGTATGTGACCAGTGATAACACAAAACACCGCATATAAAGTACTGAGTCTAGGTAAACACACAAGATCATAGGCGGCTGAAGGCTAAACATACATCTAAATGTGGGAAGATGTTTCAACTCAGTAACTTTTGTTCCTCATTTATGATTCTGAAAATCAAGGCAGGCACACAGCTATTTATAGCCTTTTCAATGAGTACGCAGCCTTGGTGGGCACTGTGAGCTAGGCAGGATGTGAGGGTGGGGAGATTTCCATACTGTACACAGTATGTACCTGCTGGGTAAATCCCCTGGCCTAAAATGCAACCCGCAGTATTTTTATGTCACTGCTGCTGAGCTGAGGTGGCGTGGGCTGAACTGCGGTCAGCCTTGGGCACCTAGGACTTCAGGAAGCCAACCCAATTTCTTCCTTACCTTCTGGTTCAGAAGAGACCACAGTCACCTAACTTTCCCTGAGGGCCACTATGCAAATCAGCTTGCTGCTGCCTTGAGTTTAAAAGAAATATAAGCCAGAGCTAGTATGCATACATAAAAGAAGCCAGACAGGCAATCAAAATAATTTTATATCTCAGCATTATCCTCCAACTGACTTCCTCCTCTTCCCCCACCCGCCCCCTGCTCCAGTCTTGTTTCTGCCCTGCTCAGGACATTCTGCCCCACTCCCCACCCCAGCTCTGCCCTGCTCATCAAAAACCTATTTCCCTCTCTTCACCTTCTAGTATGCTCTATTTATAAGCCATGAGATGTCCTACTTCAGTCTGCATATGTATTTCTTTAAGGTTACACTGAGGAAGCTTGCTCCTAAGTGCGCGCGCACACACACACACACACACACAAATAAAATAGTAAATACTAAAGATAAAAATCAAGATCAGAAAGTGTAGAGGAAAACGGAGGTGACTGATTCAGGACCTGGATAAAATGATATTAAATTTAACTCTGAAAAGGTAAAGGAAGAAAGTAAAATAAATATTAACAGTATTTCTGAAGGATGAGGTTAGGTATCATTTTTATTTACTTGCAGATCTGTTCTTCCCCTAAGAATATATTTTTATACATGTTCTTAACATTGTCCGGCTGGTTGGATTCTCCTTGCCCTGCAGACGTTGGCAGCACATGCTGTTGCGAGTCCACCTTGTTGCCACCACTTCTCTTTTCATTACCAAGCTGCAGTGGAACAGGCATGTCCTTAAGATGCAAGGCCTAGCAAAAAGCCTCCCACAAAGCCGCTGGACATCGCCATGTTCTGTTTGATAAATTCGGTGGCTTCTTCACTTACATTATTGATTTCAGGCGCTGCGTTATTAGCTCGTCTCTTAATTTGTCTTTTTGCTTTGTTTACATCTTTTTCAACTCTTTTCCAGTCGATCTGCACATAGCCGCTGTGACTGGCGATCTGAAGGAGAAGGAAGCCGCCACCTACCGCGGTTGCTGCAAGCTTTCCCACTTTCCGGAGCAAAAACCCTGCGCACCAGCCAGTCACGCCACCCACGACAACCTGGGTAGCTACTGAGTATTTTTCTACCATTGGTCCGGAACTGCGGCCAAACACCCGATTCCACCAGTGGTGTCTTCTCGCATACTGGGTTAAATCCAGCACTTCGTAAGAGTCGTCATCGCTTTCATAGTCTTGGGCAGGGAGGTTCTGGATCGCCATGATAACTCGGGTGGCCTGTGCTGGGAGGGTCGCCACCAGGTCCCGGGTCGCCATGATACCTTGGGCGGCCTGTTCTGGGGGGGTCCCCACCAGCTCCTGGGTCGCCATGATACCGCCGGTGGCCCGTTCTGGGGGTCCCCCCACACCTGCCTCTCTCCAGTACTTTGAGGGCCGCTCTAGGCCGAAGTAAAATTCTATGGTTTCTTTTTTCCTCCTCTTCCTTATCCTCCTTATCCTGGCCCATTTGTTAAGATTTTAAATGAGGTTTTTCCAACCTGGTTTCAATTGAGGTCTCAAGGGACTATAATAATATGATTAAAGGAATCAAGGACCTTCATACCCTAAAACGAGGTGCTGCGTCATTCATGCTTGACCTAAACAAGGGGCAAAGGAAGTTCTGCCAGTAACAGCATTTGCTCACCTCTAGCCTTTGGAAAACAAGGCTTGTAAAATCCGGAGAGAGAGTTTTGTGCATTTTCTCTCACCTCCGACCCTGGGGTGTGGGGGAATGGGTCCTTGCTTCTACCAGAGGCCAAGTGATGGGGACCTCTTGGACTACTCCACGAGCCTCAGGGAGTTTGGGAGATACAGAGACCCGTGTCTAAATGCCACTTGGAGAAATATAATGGTGAAAGCTTGTGGAAGAGCTGCTTACCCGGTGTCTGAGGGAAAAGAGGCTGTGTTTGTGGCAAGTGTCCTCCAAGGTCAGGGTAAAGATGTCTGAGTCTTCCAGGACAGCCGTGGGAGGGGATAAGTGGTGGGGTTCATTTGCAGGGAAATTTCACCCAAGAGGACAATCTGGTGGGAAAAGGGATGTGAACAGGCAGGAGGTGGACTAGCCAAAGCCCAAAGGCTGAGGTTGTACTCCTTGGCCCACTAGAGTGGAATCTCCCACATCAGGGGAACAACTGGCAGAACCCTCAGCTAGAAAGTCTCTAAAAGCAACAACAAAACAGATGAGAAAAACGTGAAGCCATTGTGTATCCACCACATCCCAAGCGGGGACATCACCCCCACATTGCTGCTGCGCCTCACTGAGTGCTAGGCCTCTACCCACCACTTCCTCTCTGCCTCCAGCCTGTGTCTGAGGAAGCCGGGGCAATAACCAGGCTCCTGGTGGGAGAGGGAAGTTAGGACATAGTGGACAGGCCCACATGCCTCAAACCCAGAAGCAGACCCACCCAAACACTAAGGAAAAGCATTAAATTGAATGCATGTTTGGAATCTTGCTTAGTACCCTCCGCCGACTTGGCCTTTCTTTTTCTTTTCTTAACTTTTCATGACAGCCATTTTTAAACATATATCCTTATAAGAAAAATAGAATAATGAATCCCACATGTACCCACTACCCAGCTTCCATAATGGTCAACTCACGGCTGAATAATTTCTATCTCTTCTCCTATTTCTCCCCCTCCACTGGATTATAATAAAGCACATCTCAGACATTTGATTATTTTATCAATAATTCAGTGTGTTTCTGTATAATATAAGGACTCTTAACATGACAATAGTGTCATTATTATAACCTTAAAAATTAATAATTTCTCAGTATCATCAAATAACTAGTCAGTGTTCAAATTTTCCTAGTTATCTCATAACATCATACAGTTGGTTGGTTGGTTGGTTGGTTGGTTTGACTCTTGAGTCCCAAACTTCACCTGCTAATATGTCTCTTCACCTGCTAATATATCTTTTTTGTTTTGAGACAAAGTCTAGCTCTGTTGCCCCAGGCTAGAGTGCTATGGCTTCACCCTACTTTACAGCAATCTCAAACTCCTGGGCTCAAGCAATCTTCCTGCCTCAACCTCCCAAGTAGCTGGAACTATAGGTGCCTGCCACAAACCCCAGGGTAGTTTTTCTAGTTTTAGTAGAGAAGACATCTTTCACTTGCTCAGGCTGATCTCAGACTCCTGAGCTCAATGATCTTCCCAGCTCCACCTCCTAGAGTGCTAGGATTACTGGGAGGAGCAGCCACACCCAGCCCCCTCTCTTTTTTAAGGGTATTTTCTAGTATTTATTTCTTATATATTTTTAATACTATACAAATTAGAATATTACATTTTTGTGTGTGTATATCACGATTTGGACAGTTGCAATCTAAAATATATTTAAAGTATGTCATAGAAAACACGACATGTGTAATCCATAGATTCCCTCCTCACTTATTTGTTGCTGGCTTGTTTGGCCTTAACTGTTTTGTGTATGGTGGATGTAACCTACTGTATCTCCATGGTGTCATTTGTCTTGGTCCTTTAGCTCCTATATTTCCTGCAAACTCGGCTTTAGATCTAGAGGTTTGATTAGATTCATGCTAGATATTTTTTTTTTTGGCAAGACTTTGCGTTGGTGGTTTTGTGTACTTCCTATTGTATCACCTCTGGAGACAGATGATGTCTGCTCGTCTCTCTTTTAAGATTAATCAGTGTGTTACAGTGTTGTCAGCTTCGTACAATTATACGTTTTCACATCATGATTTTAACAGCCACTGATAATCATTGCCTAGATCCGTTATTTCATTAGATTGCAAATAATGATATTCGATCACTCCTTCATTGCTGCACTTCTCTTTAAAAAAAGATTTTCTTTCATTAAGTGTTTGGTTGCTGAGCTGAGATATAGTTTTGTAGGAAATATGATTCATTCTTTTCCTTTGTTTCCAGTTTTCAGAATAAGAAGTTGGTGCTTCAGCACCCTCCAAAATGATCGATGGGTTGGGAATTTATTTTTTTCAATTATCTTAGGAATTCATGGTTTCAACATTTTTGCCATTTTTCAGTTCATTGCAGTTGTTATTCCTTTTTTCCTTTTTTTTTTTTTTTTTTT